TGATGTTATCTATTGGTCTAGTTGTGAAGGTTTTTTATTTACAAGGAGTTGCAATACACATAGATAAATTTATAGAGTCAAGTATACATACATACTTGTATACTTTAACTAAAAGAAGTCCCTGAAGTCTTCGGAAAACTTAAAAATAGTTTAACATAGCTCGTAAAGAATGTCTGTTTTGAGCATTATGCTCTTTTAGGAAATGTTTATATGGGCTCAAAAGGTTAGATGAAAACCTTAGTAGGGTATTGAGTTTCTGTTAAGGGGTGAGGAACACCTCCCCAAAAGGGGATAAAAATGGCTAGAAAACTTAAAAGAATATAATCAGTGTCACTGAATTGTATGTGTAAAAATGTTTGAATCGATGTGTTTTGTTGTGCATAGTTCCAGCAGTAGCCAAACTGAAATAAATATATACATATGATATTGTCCCTATAACCAACACTAAGACACCATTGTATAAACTAATAATCTCTTACCTCTTCTTCCTGGAATGCATGGATTTTCAACTGCAATCTTCACTTGGGAGGCAGACTGGCACATGGCAATCCTATTGGACTTTGGAAAGCTGTGTATTTTCCCCTGTGTTTTCTGAGCAGAAGATAATTGGTTATATTCAATATGCTTTGGGGCGAGGGTGGTACAGGGAGATCTTAGGCATTATTTTAATAGTCAGTGGTTTGCTTTTTTACTTCTGGCCACATATTTACTTACTGGACTCTCAAATCTCTTAACTGAAAATAAAAGGTCTCCCAAAAAGGATAGACCTTCAAGAAGATGGATTGATACATGCCAACAAACAACGGCTCAAACATAATAACAATGTGAGGATGGCGCGGGACTAGCAGTGTTTGGTTCTGTTGTACATAGGGCTACAATGAGTCAGAACTGGCTCATTGGCGCTTAGCTTTGAAGGTTTTGTTGTTCTTACTGCTCTAACTCATGTAGACCCCATATACAACAGAATGAAACATTGCCTCTTGTGCTTACTATCATTCGTATATTTGAGCCCAAGAATCATATATGTCTGTAACCTTTACATTCAAAGAAAACAACGCATTTCATAGTTGTCCCAGGGCTGACCCTGCCAAAGCTCTCTTTAACTCATTGTAGTGATACATTTATATTACCTTCTCTTTCTGTGCACAAAATCCTTTTTGTCCCCGTGCTTGTGCATTTCCCTTGCCCACAATAATACTATTTTCCATATACACTGAGTAAATACGTTCGAAGCTTGTGTGACGTCACATTTGACATAGCGGACCTGTTGGGTGATTTCAAACTCCTTGTTAGGTGCTTGAGAAGGCCATACTAATGGTTGAACTTTTCACAGGTCAAAAATGAAGTGAATAAGTTGTACAAACTGCTCGAGATAGATATCGATGGTATTTTCAAGTCTCTGCTGCTGCTGAAGAAAAAGAAATATGCTGCCCTGGTGGTGGAGCCAACGTCGGATGGGAATTATCACACCAGACGGGAGCTGAAAGGATTAGATATAGTTAGAAGAGATTGGTGTGATCTTGCCAGATGCACTGGAAAGTGAGTTCAGCTTCCTTTTTTTCCATTTTGTTGTCGGGTTTGTGTTTTTAATGAATCCTTTAATGACATTGTGGAGAACACCTATAATTCTGCCAGCACAAGAACACAGCTGCTTTCTCATTATTGTTATTGTTACACATTGACAATTCTTACCTCTTACAGGTAGAGTACCACTTAGAGAAAGCATACTGGTTCAGTAAGAAATACTTGATGTAAGATAAATCTTAGGACTTTTCTCGGTTGAGATTAAACCTTCACATTTTTGCAGAGTTGGTTTGGTTGGTTGATCTTGGTTTGTTTTTCTTTTGTATTCAATTAGAAAGTACCTTGTATTATGTTCCCAAATGTTCCTAGAGCCTCTTTTGGAACAGAATTGTTAAGGGATCTTCATTTTGTGGCTTACAATGTTCTGAGATTTAAAGTAGGCCACAGAGTGTGACTGACCTTGTTCCTACCCTCATCATCTGTATGTAAAAGCTTACTACTAATCTCAGATTAGGAGCTAGTCCTCAAATACTGTGTGTACCTCAGAAATAATAAATGTCATAACTGATCTCTGGCTTTGCAGCTGAGACCGAAGACTATGATAAGACTTTTTTTTTTAAGGGTCATAGTCATTCATAAAGCACCCATATGAAAAAATCCTTCGGTACTTTATGTACTATCTTTCAGTTACTCCTGTTTTGAACAGTTTTGAAAGTAGATTTTTTTAAGGCTAAATTTTAAAGTAATATTGTCAAGCATCAGCATTTTCTACTTGTTTTTCCATCTTCCTCTTGCTTTCAAAGTTGGGAGATTGAGCAATTGTTGCTTCTGCAAAACTGCCCTTGATTAGGCGAAGATGATCATCTGAGTATAGGTCACTGTTAGCCTTTTGTGAAATGGAGTTTGAAATGCTTCATTGCCCCCAAATGTACCCAAAGATGAAACTACATTGTATAGCCTGTCGATTAGAGTGTTCTCTTCAGCTTTGTGTTTTCTAAGAAAAGATGCATCATAATAGAAGTAAATTTCTCTGAGTTAGAAATGTATTAGTAATTAAAGCTATACAAATGTTTTTGTCAGGGTTCTTTTTCTGACAAATTATAATGCAGCTGTCAAACCCTCGCTCTGCATTTTCTCAGAAATGGATAAAATATTGGCTTCCTTACTTCTATTTTTTCCTTTTGGTCTGGTAGAATAGCATGAAGTTTTTGAGGGAGAGCGTAAGGTTGGACAACACTGAGCAACATAATGACACTGAAGAAAGAAAAGCTTGAATCCACTGTTTTATTTAATTTATGCAAATAACTTTCTATTTTTCCTAGCTTAGCTCATGGTTAAGATGGGCAGAGTTTTAGATAATATTTTGGTGTTTTTTGAGGAAAATGAAATATCTGTCTTCTAAAAATTTAACTTACATTATATTCAAAACCACTGGTTGTAAACTTGACAAGTCTCTGGAAATACAATAGAAAATATACCATTCCATCTGAATTTGTATGAAGCATTAACCACTACAGTAAGAAGTGGTCTGTATGTTTAAGAGCAAACCTGACACCCCCAGGTTGATAAAACTTTGGTAGAGCTATTTGGTTTTGCTTTTCCTTTTTAAAGTAGTAACTGCCTTTTGGACTCAAAGCCGTCAAGTCGATTCTGGCTCATAGAACTTCCCCTCTGGGTTTCCAAGACTGGCAATCTTTACAGGAGTAGAAAACTTCATTTTTTCCCTTTTGGATATTAACCTTTTAGCTTTGAGTATTGCTCCTTTACACATAATGAATTTAATGGTATTTATCCTTTTCTTTATTACTTGTGATATTAGAAATTTCATTCCTGTTTTGTTTTGTTTTCCCCCAGCTTTGTCATTGGTCAGATTCTTTCAGATCAAAACCGGGACACCATAGTAGAAAACATTCAGAAGAAGTTAATAGAAATTGGAGAAAATGTGCTAAATGGCAAGGTCCCAGTGAGACAGTTTGAAATCAACAAGGTAAATGCACCATTTATTGCTGAGCCCCACTGCTGTCCTTTGTTTTTCTCCTCCTTCAGATGGTGGAAGAAGGAAGCACCTCATCCTAACAGTCAGAATGACCTGGTAGGGAAAGCTGCTTGGCCACCTCTACCACTGATTGAGCAGCAGCAATTCCTGCCCCAGCCACAGGTTCCGCCTGTGGCCTTCTTGCTCACTTCCTTCCTCTTTGAAGGGCTTCTATGGCTTGCTATATGTGATGTCTTGAGAATACAACCGTCTTCATGTCTTCCTGAGCATTCAGTGTTTACGGGCAAGGCTATAGACTTAGTGAGTGAGTGAGTGAGTGAGTGAGTGCATGCATGCACGCGATCTGATGTGTTGGCCTTCACAGAAAAGGATCCCGTACAGAGAGTGGAATCAGAAGGCTTCTCTAATGTCACAAAAGCATACATTCACTTGTACATGTAAAGAACTGAGAGAACCATAGTGAATGTTTCCAGATGGACCTTCATCCCTTAGTGCTAGCTGTTCATTAAGTGATGCAATGTGCACATACGAGGAGGCTTTAAAATGTCCATTATAAAATGGAATGCAGTTTACAGATTTTTCCTGCCACAAATGTTTTTAAGCTACCACCCCCCACCCCACCATTGACAGGGAATCATTTGAAAATGGCTTCCTCTTAGAGTCTGTTTTGTCTTTCTTCTTTTGACCAAAGTTTGCATCTGTTTTGTAGATTGTGCCCTTAATACTGTCTACCTTCTTAGAAATGTGGCTCAGAAGGCATAATATAGCCTTCTGAGAATCTTCAACATTCCTTTCATTACTTATACTATTTAAAGCTTGCGAATGATTCAGATTTTGTATTTTATCACTTGCAGAGGAGAGTAGAATAGGCTGTTTATATATCCTCACAGTGGATGTAAGTAGTCCACTGGTTGTGGATGATAGTTTTGTGACAGGATATTTTTGTGTGTATGATGCTGTTGAAAAACAAAACAACCCATTGCCATAGAGACATTTGTGATGCTGGTAGGGCTTTAAAATTACCAGTGAGCTTAGGATAGTGGCAAGTGTGAAGTGGTGGGATTTACTTTGGTGGAGCTTTTAGCCCTTGCTACCAAAAGCATCTGGAAAACGTGTAATTTTCTGAACGACTCCAATCTTAGCTTAAATCTGTTTTATACAGTGTCACAAAAGGTGCCACAATAGATATTTTTGAAATTTTTTCCTTTTTTGGGCATTGGGGTTGTGGTAAGCATGTATGTATATAGTATAACATTTTCCATTTCAACATTTTTACATAAACAATTCAGTGAAATTAATTATAGCCGTCTTGTTGTTCACCTGTCACCACCATCAGTTTCCATATTTCCCCATCACCTTTAACAGGAACCTCAGCTGACTTTTGTAACTCAAGTTTATTTGAACCTAAACCACCAGGAAGCATTTAAAAAAAACAACAACAGGTCTTCTAAAACTAGCTTGTATAATTTCCAAATAGCTCTGGTATAACTGGAAATGAAATTCGGAGTTTTTTAACACTGAGTACTAGCCCATTAAAGAGGATAACTATTTTAAGATATGGTGGTGGATATTTCTACATGGCTTTGCTCATCCAAGTCAATCATACTGGACCTAATCCAGGTTAAAGGAGATTTGAATGCTTAAAAATGTCTCCTAGACACTCTCCTGTACTGACTGTAATATTTAGAAAGTATAGATATCTTGAATATGTGCAGCCATGCTTGAGGCTGACACTAATTGATTTAGGGGTTGGTGGTTCAATCCCACCAGCTTCTCTGAACTGTATAGGGCTATTATGAGTTGAAATTGACTTGGTGACAGAGGTTTGGGGTTTGTATTTATTCTTCTAGTATAGAAACTCCCACATTTCGTGCTCTCAGAATACCTTTAATTTATTGAGAACTTGGGAAGCTTTTGTTTATGCAGTTTATATTGATATTTTCTTTATTAGAAATGAAAATGGAGACACTTAAAATGGTCTTATTTATTTTAGAATAGCAATACATCCATTATATGAGAACAAAAATTGCATTTGTTTCCATGACAAGAGCTATATATTCCAAAACAAAAACATTACCTAAAGCAGTGGCATTGTTTAGCCATTTTGAAAATCTCTGATATGTGGCTAAGTAGAAGATTTTCTTCTCTGCTTCTATTGTGATAATGTGGTTTTGGTTGAAGTGCAGGTAGAAAATCTAGTGTCAGTAGATATGTAGTTGAAAAAAGTAGAAGCATTTGAGTAAATTTTTTAAAAATGCTTGTATTTTCTTATTTTTAACCTAAACTCTACAAGTAAAAAGGTTCTTTGAAAATGTGGAATCTGAAACCATATCAGTGAACTTTCCTTACTTTATTATAGAACATTTCAATGGTCTGTGTTGAATGTTGAATGGATGTTTTACCCCTGCCTGACATTATGTATGGGCCACTTGAATGTTGATCTGTTTCATTGTTTGATCTTTTTTGAAGTTAAATTTGTTAACATTGCTACTTTAGTCATCAGGAAAGTCTTTTAGTATTAGGAAGCTACCGAGCTCACAGAGATGGGAATACGTTTTTCAAAATTCCAATTTTCCTTTGAAAGTAGAATTTTATCATTGGCAATATGTACTGTCACTAGTTTTTCTTGAAGTTAATCTCACTTTTTTTCCTTTTGAAAATTTCTCAGATTGTGCCTGGTATTCATGTCAGAATAATTATAGTTTTCTTATATTCTTCCAGTTAAAAATCGAGTTCTGTGAAAAATACAGCTAGTTTAGCTAGCAACTCAAACAACCACAGGCATTCTTTCTCTGAAGCAATCCCCGATCTTTGGTGTGCAGCACAAGTACCTTGTGCATACTAACTATTGTATCACCCAGAATATGTGAGCTGTAATCTAGCACTGTGTTAGTCCGGGTTGACTAGAGAAAAAATCCAGAGACACTCGTGTGTAAGAGAGAAATTTATATCAAAGACGAATTGTACATTAAGAAAGCATCCCAGGCCAGTACAGATCAAGTCCATAAGTCTGATATTACCCCATATGTCTGATACCAATCTATAAATTCCTCTTCATACTCAAGAACCGCATCCAATGACACTGAATGCAGGAAGATCACAGGCCAGTGTGTGGAAACTCTTGTGGATCCAGTGGTAGTGGAAACATCTCAGCACTGGCAGGGGTCTCCACGTGGCTTCTTCAGCTCCAGGGCTCTAGCATAGGTCCATGTATCTTGTCAACAGAAATGTCTCGCAGGGAATGAACTGTATTTTTTCTCACTTCTTCCCTTTAATTTTGCTTTGTTCCCTGCTTGGAATGATTATGTACTCCTACCTTCTCTTAAGATCATGCTTATGTTTTAATTAACAGTTCAAGATTTTTTCTCATGATTTCTACTCACAGGTGGATAGGATCTTCTCTAAACGCTTCTAAACTCTTCTCTTTGTACTAATAGCAGGTGACTTAATTACAGTGACTTGGGAGAAAGACAAACCATTCTACTCTTGTAAAGAGTTATAGTCTGGGAAACCCACAGGTCAGTTTATCCTGTCCTATAGGGTCGCTATGACTCAGAATCCACTTGATGTCAGTGACAGAGTGAGTGTGTCTTACTCATCCTGCAGTACTTTACACAGCTTAAATTTAGGAAATGATTGTGGAATAAGTGAAATTATGTATTCAGCAAATACTGTTCTGAGTATACTATGGCCCCAGCCATGAGCAGGCTGGTCACCATCCCGCCTCTAAGGGGGCTTACTTTCCACAACAAACTCTTTCTGCCTTTCGGGAGCTAAAATTGATGGTGTCATTTGATTCAATGATTTCCGGTGCCTGCACAGTTGGTCTATTTAGACTGGAGAAGCCTGAAAAAGTGATCACTAAGGCCAAGTAGCCATTCTTTTTAAATCCGAATGAATCTCATTACTTCAGTGAGCAAATTACATGTATTTGTAGAAACTGTCAGGCAGCATAAACCATGGTAAATTTATTGCCCTATTTTCCCCGCCACATCCCATGGAATTCTGTGGTCTGGCTCTTAAACCTAAAAATCTCTTTTGGATCAGGATTACCTTTGCTTCTATTAGTGACCAAACCAAGGGGGGAGGGGGTCCCTGGGAAAGGCCGTGTCAGGCAGGACTCCGTGGCAGTGCTTTTCATAGATGTAGATGTGGCTTAATGGGATTTTAGAGAAGATTTACTTACTGGCTATCTGTGAGGAGGGTTTTATGTTAAAGTTTGGGGCTTTTTGTTCTTGCTTTTTCTCTTTTAGGCATTGACAAAGGATCCTCAGGATTACCCTGATAAAAAAAACCTACCTCATGTCCACATTGCCCTCTGGATCAATTCTCAAGGAGGCAGAAAGATGAAAGCTGGAGATACTGTGTCGTACATCATCTGCCAGGTAAGACTGTCATGGTCCATAAGAAGTCAGAGTAAGGGCCACAGCATCTTATTTAGTCTTCTAAATACCTGCTGTGGTCCAGAGATGGTTCATTCATCTTACTGCATTAAACCAACAACAGCAAAAACATTAGTCAGGTGTATGGCATGTTGTTGTTTTTTTAATTTCAGACCAGTCTTTAGTTTGCAGAAATGGATTTGATGAGGCAAGTTTATAGCAGTAGCTATTTCAATCCTAAAATAACTCTAATGACAATATATGTAAGTTTAATTTCAGACCAGTCTTTAGTTCGCAGAAATGGATTTGATGAGGTAAGTTTATAGCAGTACCTATTTCAATCCCAAAGTAACTCTAATGACAATATATGGAAGTTTGGGCATGTCTTTCTTTCATGAATGTTAGTAGAGTAAAAAGAGAGCAAAATACATTTTTCCCCTAGCCTCTGTCAAAATAATTAATTGGAAAAAAATATGAAATGCATGATGAGATGGAGGAAGTTGAGAGATCTTAAAAACATACTTTATGAAGAAAACGAAAATAATCTATACATTTTCTTTCTTCATTTCATTCTGATTTTCCCTCTTTGCCTCCTTTCGTTCTCTTTTTTCCCTTTTCTTAAGATCCCCCCTCCCTGCAGTCTCCCTTGTTGTCTGAGAGGGACCGCAAGGTCTTGTGGAGTACACTTTTAAAAGCACTAACCAGGGTCCGTGGGTAGGAGTATGTCTCTACCATTTAGGGCAAAAGAAAGGGTGGGACCTAAGAGCCATTTTTCATTGAAAGAATTGTCACCCCTTTTCCCTGTGTGTGTGTTTGGGGGAGTGGTGGATGTAATCATAGCTTCTATCCAGATTATTTATAATTAACAAGATATGGTCTATTTACCAGAAAGCATTATTCCTTTGAATTAAGATGGATTCTTTTTGAAGTATTATTAGAAATTTTTTCTTCATTTTGACTGCATTGTATTATTACAGTTTTTAAAAAACATCTTAGATAACCTTTAAAATTTATTGCAAGATGATTGATCTTTGTTGAACTACAGTGGGCCCTTTGTAAAAATTGAAAATGGTGTGCTAATATGTGCTCCATACTGTAGATGATGTACGCAACAAATGATTTAAGTACACGGACAGGAATCAGCACTTGACTCCGTCTCCCTCCTAGGGTTACCCTTGATTAAGAACTGTTACAGAAAGCCAATTCCTGCAGGAAAATATTTCCATAAATGTCTGACTTGCTCAAGCCCTTAATGTGCTTTGCATATTGCCTCTGACAAGTCTCATTTCAGAAAAACAGTTTTCATATTATGCAAATAAAGATTTTGGTAAATAGGTTAGGCTTTTTTCTCTCTCTCCCTTTCACTTACATCTTTACATACATGGAAAAGCTCTTAGAATATTAATGACAGGAGCCAGCGAGAGCATCCAAATTTGAAAAATCTTGTAGGTTCGTTGAAATAGCATCTAATAGTGAAATCCAACAATAATTATGTTTTGGCTAAACCTGGAATGGAGATGACTGGTGATTTATAAAATAACTAATAAAATTGAACTATCTAAAAGTTATGCTCATGTTTCTTAATGACCAAATATAGGCCTTATGATTTATTTTCATATCTCATTAAGGTAAGAAGGTTCAAAATTCTAACGCCAATGTGTTTGTTTACCATCATCCACGGAGCCCTAGTTGCATAGTGGTTACACATTGAGCTGCTAACTCTAAGGTCAGCAATTCAAAACCACCAGTCACTTCTCAAGAGAAAGACAGAACTTTCTACTTCGATGAACAGTAATAGTCTCAGAAACAAAGGGGCAGTGCTACCCTATCCTATAGAATGGCTATGAATCTCTATGGAACTCAATGGTAGTGAGGACAATGTTTCCCAAAATGGGCATTACCACCTCTTGGTGGGCACTGAAATGATCCTGGGGGGCTGGGAAAACAGATTCCTCCACTTTATCTTGGATTATGGGCTATATAGTACAAGTTTCTCATTGACAGAAGGGTGCTGAGTAATTTATTTATTTCCTGAAAAGGGGATGGCAGGCAGAAAATAAGTTTGGGAACCTATGCTCTAGGCTCTTAGTATACTTGCTTTTTAAAAACTACAATTTATATTTCTTGTTATTAATTCTTGATATATTGCAATGAAAGATTTAAGGGCTTTAATTTGCCTTTGCTCCCTAGCAATGGGGCATGTACATTTTGGACATGTTTACTAGCTGGAGCTGCATACGTCTTATGCTTTTAAGCACTCCAGTTCCACTTCAATAGATTTCCTAACTCAGACTATAATCTTTAGAATATGTTTTTGAAAATATACATGTAGTGTCTTCATTTTAAGAGAACTATTAGCTGCCCTAAGCATAGGGAGCCTCCAAGAAGTGCTTATCTCCTTAATAGTTACTATTTTGGTTGCTATGTACATTTAGAATATAATACTTTACTAATAACATCTTCAGATTAAGCATTCAGGTCAGTTCAGTAATGTTTGGGGTATCTAATTTATTTGTTGTTGGTGGTGTTCGTTGTCTTCGAGTCAATTCCCACTTATAGTGGCCCTAAGAGTGTAGAGTAGAACTCCTCCACAGTGTTTCCAAGGCTAAGCCTTTTCAAAAGCAGAAGAGAAGCCAGGCCTGTCTCCCCCAGGCACTGCTGGCTGGGTTTGAGCCACCAACTATTGATTGGCTAGTGTGGAGCTCCTAACTGTTTACGCAAAGGGACTTAAAGACAGTCTTCTTTCAAAACAAACAAACAAACAAACCAAAAGTAGTTTCCATAGAGTCACCTTTTAGTCATGGCAACCTCATGTTGCCAAACCTATGTTAATTTTTTTGGTCAGATTTTAATCATCTTCCATTTATCTGTTATGTTTTAGATCTTTTACTCTTTATCTTTCCATAGGTGTGTGTCTTTAATATACTTCTTTTGGGGGGACCCACTTGTCACCCATTTAAAATTATTTTCTAGTATTTTCTGATATGACTGCAGTACTTTGAATTGGCAGCACCTGGTGTCTGTATGAAGTTTGTATTTTGTGTAGTTCATGAATGGCATTTAAGTAGACCAACATTGCTTCTTATCTCTTCTTAAAGAAGTAGACTAAACCTTGCACATACTATGGGGTCTTGTTCAGGTTTGAAAGCTACATCTATGTCACCTGTTTTTCAAATACAATATAACAAAACCCACCATTTTATCAATTTTTTTCAATTTTGCCATGTTCGGAACTTGGATTCTTAAAATACAAATAAGGGTACATGTTTGGGTCATTGCCAAAACAAGTCTTTATCGTGGGTATTAATTTAAAATTAAAACTTTAAAAATTTAGAGCACATTTAGAAATTTTAAGCTGCTTTTAAAAAATATGCTTTGCTGTGACAACTTCTAATGATATATTGGAAGGTAACTCATGTGCGCTCCCCCCCCCCCACTCTTCTCAAATATTTAGGCTCTAAAGGTTTGATTTTTATTCACCAGTAAAAATTATTAAGCTCAACATTGCTATAATCTTAGGATAGATCAATTTTGTTAAAAGCTAAAATGACATCGATCGATCAGATTTCACGTTTGTGATATTAAAAGACTGTCTGGACACCGTTGTGTCTAAAGACACTGCCCAAGGATCTTTTCACATGGGTTTTACCATCCCAACTCTGCTTTTGCAATTCAAGCCTCTGAAAAGGGTAACAATTAAACTTGAGGAATTCTGTCAGCTTTTTCACTATCTTGTAAATGATCCTCTGAGAAATAATAATCCAGGCTTGTCACCTGAGGTTGTCTTGCTTTTAAAGTGTTTTCATTATATCTTTCACAGGAAGAGCTGAGTTAGTAAACAATTTCTGTTCATCAGGAGCTTAGCCTTAGAAATCCTCACTGGTTTTTAAAGGGGAGGCAGTGGTGTGGAAGGTTGCCTCTGCTTCAGCCTGGGCACTGTAGCAGCAATGAAAAAGAGGATCCGCAGTATAATTCATTCTGCAGAGCAGCTGAGGACTGTGAATAGTTAGAATTTACCAGTTTGAATATCAAATTTTGAATATTAAGTTCTGTTGTTTTAAAACAAGAGGAAGTGCAGGGTGTGTTGCTGGCTGGTGGTGCAGAGTAGCGATGACTTTTTGACCCACAGATGAGGGTGACAACAAACAGAGGACTGTGTATGGGCCAAGTGTGTAGACTTGTAAAGTTTTTCTTTTCAAAGAGTAAAAGAGGAAGCCCTTTAAAAAGGTTCCCTGGAGCTGTTTCACTCCGGGTTGCCCTGTCTGACTCACCTCCCTGTCCTGAGCAACAGCCAGACTGCCATCATGAAATGACCTGTACTTCTGTCCAAAAGCACTGAGACACCACAATGACGCCTCATTATTTTTCTCCTTCCTCCTGGGTGCATCTTGTAAGAATGCCCTGATGGGCTGCTTACCTCAAGGTTGGCAGTTCACACTCACCAGCTGTCTGCTCCTGTAAGATTTAGAGTCTCAGTAACCCTCACCAAGGTCGTGTGAGTCAGATGATTAGATGACAGTGAACTTGGTTCGTGTATTATTATTTCCTGTCTATGTATGACTTCATGGGTTCCAACCTCTTTCCTTTTCCTCTTGCTCATTTGCTTGTTGATGATCAAGACAGTTCTCATAGCAGATACTACCCCTAGGGACTCTGAGGGGATAGTGTGGCTAGAGAGCTCACCTGATGCGGTCTCCTTAAACAAAAGCCACATATCGCATAGTGTCCTTATAGGACAGAGGACAACTCTCCCACAGTATTTCCAAGACTGATATCTTGATGGAAGCTGGCGGCCCCTCCTCCTTGGGTTGGCAGAGGAGCTCTTTAACCTGGTGCCACCAGGGCTTGATGAAAAAGACCGTACATTTGTTTATCATTGCTGCTAAAGAGCCATTCTCATTAGACTAATTATCACTATACTTTCTCAGTGTGTCTCTCTTATGGCAGGTGAATTATTTTATTTGGTAGTTAGTTTCTGCTTTAGGCAAAAAATTGGGTGCCCATTTGATGTATGTTCTTGAGCCATGGCTTCACCATCTTCTCTTAGATCAGCGGTTCTCAACCTGGTCGTGACCCCTTTGGGGGTTGAACGACCCTTACACAGGGGTCACCTGATTCATAACAGTAGCAAAATGCCAGTGCTGAAGTAGCAACAAAAGTAATTTTATGGTTGGGGTGTCACCACCACATGAGAAACTAGTGAAGGGTCGCGTCATCAGGAAGGTTGAGAACCACTGTCTTAGCCGCATATGAAACATTCATTCCGATGTTAGAAAAGCTTCTTGGTGTTAGGTTTGTTGTCTCCCTTTGAACCACTGGAGGGAGGGAGGGAGTGTGAATGAGTGTGTGTGTGTGTGAGAGAGAGAGAGAGAGATTGAGTCTTTCACACTTTGCCTGTACCTTGTCCTCTTTTAGGATGGGTCAAACCTCACCGCCAGTCAGAGGGCCTATGCACCTGAGCAGCTGCAGAAACAGGACAACTTAACCATTGATACCCAGTACTACCTGGCCCAGCAGGTCCACCCAGTAGTAGCTCGTATCTGTGAGCCAATAGACGGGATTGATGCTGTGCTCATTGCATCATGGTTAGGTAAGTTGTCTAAGCTGACATTGGCTCTCTCCCAGTGATGGCATCACATGCTTCCCTCCATCCAATTCAGTAGGCACAGTACTGGACCTCGTACTCCCCTGGTGCTTCATGTCTGTCTCCTCATGTAGACCTCTGTACTTCCTACTTTGATAACCACCTATGCAGGCCATTGTTGGCAGCCAATACATATCCACAAGCTGAAGGTGAAGGGACAGAAAAAGGAAGGGAGGAGGGGAAGTCCTAATTTTAGAAGGCATAAGAGTTACTGACTTCACTGTTGTAGCTTTAATGAGTGGATTTCCATGAAAGTGAGGAGGTTGGTGCTATTTTGTTGAGTGGCCATCTTGTTTCTGACTCAAAAGACATTTTGTTAGAAAAATAGACTGTGCCATTTGGGAGGGGGGGCTAGAGCACGGGAATTTTGAGTTTGTAATACGCAAATCCTTTTAAGTATCCTATTCTCGTTTTAATTCAAATTCTTCTAAAACTAGGCTCACTGCCATCATCTAGGAGTTGGCTGCCATTTCTACTTCATCATCCCAAGAGGTGCCAGCCAACCCTGACACCTCTGTGTGTCCTTATGACCCTCCTTGTTCTGCCACCAGTTTGACATCTCTTGCCTAGCAGTCTATTTTATCACCTTGTTTTCAGATGACCAGCATGGAAAGAGTTACCTCACTTTTAGGCTCTGTGCTCTCGCTAATCCATCTTACAGAAATGCCAACCTGTATTTCTACTTTGAATTTTGATAAGTAAATAACCACTGCCATCGAGTTTACCCTATGGGATAGATTAGAACTGTTCCTTAGGGTTTTTGAGGCTGTAAATCTTTACAAGAATAGGCAGCCTCATTGGTCTCCCCTAGAGTGGCTTCCCCCTCTTTTTTTTTTTTTAGTCTGACCCCTTTTAGTCTGCTTGATGTCCCCCAAATGTGATATTAATTCTGTCTCTGTTTCAGAAGGAGCTCTGGTGGTACTGTCGGTTAAGTGCTGGACTGCTTACCGCAAGGTCAGTGGTTCAAACCCACCAGCCGCTCTGAGGGAGATGAGCTTTTTTTGCTCCCATAAAGAGGTGCAGTCTCAGAAGCACACAGTGGCCGTTCTACCTTGTACAGTGAGTTGTTGACTCCCTGCTCCATGGAAAATTCTCTTCTTCCTCTTCTCACTAGAAGATATCAGTTGTGGACATAGGTTTTGGCATCCTAGGGGCCTGTGAAGAAAGGCTGGTTCTTGCTCTTCACAAGCCCTGTGGGTTTGACAAACCTCTAAACTTTAGTCTAAGCCATGGTTCATTGAGTTGTACAATAGCGCACACTCCTCCAGCCCTTAGGATTTGCACATCATTAGTATTCAGTGGCCTCAACAAGATGGATTGACACAGTGGCCACAACAGTGGGCCTAAACATGCCAGTGATGGTGATGATGGCCCAGGACCAGGCAGTGTTTCCTTTTGTTACCCTAAAGGTCACCACGAGTCAAAGCCAACTTCATGCCAACACAACAACAGTGCTCACTCAGTAGGTCGGTTCGTTTTGATTGGATTTTCCCCGAGGAATCCTTGAGTCACGCACTTCTGGTCCTACCACTGCTTAGAGTGTTTCTGAGTTCCTTCCAGCCCTCCACCTCACTCCCCCAGCCCTCATCTCCCCTCTGTCAGTATCCACCCTGGAATTGGAAACTCATCTTTGACATTTGTCTGAGCAAAACATAATTAGCTGATAAAATCTTGCTACCAAAATAATCGTATAATATATTCTCAAAAGTTGCATTGTGTTTGATGATGTTTATAAATCCTTAGCTAGGAGGAAGAAACTAAATGCCCAATATTTTTATCATCATTTTACTTTTTTCTTTACTGTCAGATACTGTCATAAGTACTTTGCATGTTTTCACATGGTTGGTTGTATTAGCTTTGTTTTACAGAGAAAGAAACCGTGGCATGGAGCAGTGTCCAACTTGTCTTATAGCTAGAAGAGGTGACCAGCACCGCCTGACTCCAGAGCTCGTGACCTTAATCACTGTGCTTAGTGCCCATGCTTCCTCTCAACCCACAGAGGCAATCAGAGATGTTGCCTACTAGGAATTGGGGTGGTCTGTAATGTGAAAACCTGGAAGGCTTTATGTTCACACTCCCTTCTCAACCCAACTACCTACACTCCCAGTTTCCACCTGAGAACTCTGGGCAAAACAATTTTTTTTTTAGTAAGTCTCCCAGCGTTTCCATTTGTGTCTTCAGTTAAACCATTGCCCTTCCCTTCACTGGTTTTGGCTTTTCCAGTGGCACAGTGCTGAGCAGGCCCAGTCTCCTGAGTAATTTAGACCGTAGATAGGTGTTGACTTGCTTAAAGAAGCATTTTAATAATAATTGTAGGTACCTTTTGGTTCTAGATAGCCTTATGAATCTGATTTTCACAAATTATTTTCAAAGCCAGTACAGCTAAAGGGTCCCATCTTCAGAGGGTTGTGTATCATTGCTGATCTCCATTTTCTCAGAGAGTCTGCCTCACAGGTGTTCTACCACTTACCACCCCTCTGGTCCCATTCCCTAGAAGCTCTTTGGACCATTTGTGGCTGTATGCTCTCTTCTTGGTGCCGTGTGGCCTATCTGAACTGATTGAAGGGCCTGTTTCCTCAAACTTGAGCTGCTGGTACTGCTCCATCTGATCATCTTCTTATTTTCATCTTCTGCCACTCAACAACAGTTTGTTTGTTTTTGCCTTAGGTAAATTTATTTATTTTGCTGCCACTGGGAATATAGAGAGAGCAGGACATACATCAATCCAACAGGTTCTACTTGTACAATTTGATGACCTGATTTTGTCCTTGCAAGTCGTGCAGCCATTCTCTTCTTCCCTTTCTGAGGTGTTCCTCTGCCATTAACTTAAATTCCTTGCCTGCCCCCCCC